GAGGCTTGAGCGGTTTCCGCCCAAGCCGAAGAGGACTCCACATCCATCTCGTGGGGACTCTGGGTACACGGCAGGGTAGTGGAAACCCTGTGTGAGATCCAGAGGAGCTTGGCGGCCTGATCCATTGCCCACCTCTTCCCGTCTTCGAACGCAACTTTTATAAGACGTATTTACGATTTCTATTTTGGTGGCTCGTTCACCCAGAGCATCCGGAGCTCTGCACCGTGGAGCCTAGCAACCTCCACGAGACTGTCTGTGTTGTCTGTCTGTAACTGCAACTCAATCAAGCTTTCCAGCCTACACCACTGCCATCTCGGTGTAAGTAAACAATCTTTAAAACTACTGCTACGCGTCTGTGCCTAATTCCAGCTCGACGGCCTTCCCTCTCCGACCCGGCGTGCCCGGGCTGCTGGCCACAGCCTGCGTGCAGCGCGAAAAGGGCTCGGGTCGCTCCCGGCCCGCACAAGTATCTGTTCCTAATTAATTACAATGCAAATATTCCTTCCTGCTCAGCACTGTATCCTTCTTCCTTTTCTGGAATCCTTTGTTCTTATGCATAAACTCCCATCCCCATATTCCTTCCCCCTGACTCCCACTCAACTATGTCTTGATGCTTATTAGCGCTGATCCTCTTAAATTCACTGCTTATCAGCCTGGTATAAACACCAATGATCCCCAAAGGACTGAGTTACATTTCTGCTGTAACTAATAGAAACAGAGCTTTTGTAGGACTATATTAGTGCCTCCTCAGGCACAGATAAATATGCAACCCAGCAGTATAAATTAGACCATTGATTTTTTTTCCCCTCCTGAACAAAGCACTAAAGCAACTCCATTTCAGATACAAGTAGTTTTCCCTCCTATCAAGACAATCATCACAGGAGACACTTTAAATTGGTTTTTAAATAATAGATGCATGAAAATATCCTCACCCTGTGCATTACACTTCTAAGGTAAAGTAGGAAAGAACAATGTTATAACCTGTAGCTCCTCTGTAGCTTCATAGATTGACTTTTCCTTAATCAGCTGTGCATGCTTCATGATGAAAGATGCATGTCTGGGAACCTAGTCAGCTTGTGAACTCTCTCACTGGTGCTTTGTAAGCTACACGCCAGAATATGCCTTCGTTCATTTTACATTTTAAATGGAAACTTTGAACATGCCCATCACCCTCAGCATCTCTCCAGCCCCTTCCTGGAAGACAATTTCCAGTGACAGGTCCGCATGCAAACCACCATGCACAGAAGAGGACCATGAAGTATGCTGTAAGCTATAAGCGGTGCCTTGCTGCCCTCTGCTGGACTATTTCCACCCTACAACAACCAAGCTCCAAGCCCCGCCACCATAAAGGAAAAGGTGTGGGGATTCAGTTGAATTGATGCAGTACCATATTACTTTTTCTAATTTTAAGATGCCAGCATACAGAAGTTTCAGGAATTAATGGTTAATGCATTTTAAAAGCCAAAAAGGAATAAAGCTATTAGCAAAATTACAAGATAGAAGAAGGCAGACAAGGTTCCTTGGGTGAATTTGATCTCTTTTATTAGACCAACCCAAATGGTTGGAGAATAGTTATTAAGCAAGCTTTCGGGTTCAAAAACCCTTCGTCAGGCTCAGGAAGCTGCAGCAGTTGGTGTGTGCTCTTCCTGGATGGAATGAAAAGACTTTTCATTATATATATAGGCAACCTTGTCTGCCTATATCCTTAGACCAACACGGCTACAACCGAAACCCCTGCAAGATAGAAGAACAAATCTATGCAGTTAGTGAGAACAGGTGATCACCAGCAGGATCAGTTGGAGGCCCTGCACAGAAAAAAAGGGAAGAGGTTGTGTATAGGTGGCCAGAGATAATAAAAAACATGCTTAGAGGCAAAAAGCATTTCCAGGCACTGTTCAAAAAACAGTGAGCAACGGCCAAGACACTGAAGGAGATAACAACTCTGCACTCTGTGGGGCGTTGCAGCACAGAGCCAAAAGTATCATAATGGAATCTGTTAACACAAGATGCAGATCAAGAAAGCTGAGAAGACTAGAAAAAATTAGAACAAAGTGGAGCAGAGACGATTAGCAGGGATCCTGGTTTTTCCCCAATTAAAAAAATTGCAAATTATGTAATAAAAAATAGCAATTTCTCTGCTTAAATCCCCTCAAATCCATGATTAATCATAGAAACAAGGGTCTGGAAGGGACTTTGAAAGATCATTGAGTCAAACCCCCCTGCTCTGGGCAGGAATACTGCTGAGATCAAACAATCTCAGCAAGGTGTCTGTCCAGTTTTCTCTTGAAGATTTCCAAGGTTGGGGACTACACCGCCTTCTTGGGAAGCCTATTCCAGACTCTAGTCACTCTTACCGTAAAGTTCTCTCTTGCATCCAACCTGAAACCATCCTTTAACAGTTTATGGCCACTGACCCTTGTCCACCCCTAGGGCTCCCTACTGAACAGTTTTTCTCCCAGCTCCCAATAATCACCCCTTACACACTTATAGACAGTCACTAAGTCCCCCCTCAGTCTTCTCTTCCCCAGGCTGAACAGTCCAAGATGCCTTCGTCTTTCCTCATAAGGTTTGTCCTCCAGGCCTTTAATCATTCTTGTGGCCCTTCTCTGGACCCTTTCAAGATTCTCTTCATCTTTTTTGAGGAGTGATACCCTGATCTGGACACAGTACTCCAGTTGGGATTTCACCAACGCCAAGTAAAGAGGAAGCATCACTTCCTTAGCCCTGCTCGTGATGCATCAGTTAATGCTATTAGCTCTGTTGACTACAGTATTGCACTAGCGGCTTATGCTCATCTTGTGATCAACCATAACCCTGAGGTCCCTTTCAGCCATCATGCTGGCCAAGACATCTGCTCCTAACCTACCTTGGTTACTTCTGCCAAGATGGAGCACTTTGTATTTATCTTTATTGAACTGCATCCAGTTCTGCTCCATCCACCTTTTCAGCTTGTCCAGGTCCGCTTGGATCTGTATCCTATCCCCTAGCATGACTGCTTTTCCCCATAACTTAGTATAGTCTACAAACTTGGTCAGCGTGCTTTCCACATCCTCATCTAAATCGTTGATAAAGATGTTGAGCAGCATGGGGCCAAGAACTGAACCCTGAGGGATACCACTGGCCACCACCCACCAAGATGACACAGACCTGCCCACTAACACCCTCTGGGTTTGAGACTTTAGCCAGTTCGCAACCCATCTGACTATACCAGCCCACAATTCCCATTTTTAATTTTTCATAAGAGCATCATGGGAGACCATATCGAAGACCTTTTTAAAATCCAAGTATATGACATCAACCATGTCTCCCCCATTTAAGTGGTTCATTACTTGATCATAGAAGGAGACAAGGTTGATCAGGCATGACCTGCCCACAACGAAACCATGTTGGCCATCCCTCAGCATCATGCTTTCTGCCAGTCTCTCACAAATGGATTTTTTTATAATTGTTTCCAAAATTTTACCCAGTATTGAGGTCAAACTGACCGGCCTATAGTTTCCCGGATCCTTCCTCCTCCACTTCTTAAAGATTCAAATGAAAGGCTGCTATATATCTGCTAGTCAACTGCCCATCAAAAATGGTTGTGGTGTGGGAAGGGGGCAGCCAGGGACAGCGGCCTGTGTCTGACCCCACTCCCCCCGCACCTTGGGGCCTGGGCCTGCTCCCCCTCATCCACCTACCACTTTGGAGCTGGGGCTAGGCCCTGCCCCCTGTCTGCTCTGTTGGCACCACTTGCAATACTGGGGGGTGCGGCCAGCGGTGCTGGTCTTGCCTCCCCCCGCCCCAATCCTCTCTGTTTTCACAGCCTACAAGGAGCAGGAGGGGCAGGGCCAGCAGCACTGGCCCTGAGTCTGCTCCATTGATGCCTGTAGGGTTGGAGGGCCGGGGCCAGCACCACTGGCCCATCCCCATCACAGTCCCCGGGCGGGGGGGGGGGACGGGACGGGACGGGACAGAGACCTGGGGCAGGGCTCACTCCTCCTATCCTTGCCCCTGCTGCTTCGGGGCTGGGGCCAGGGCTGCTTCCCCCAACCCCATCCGGGGGGCCGGCAGGGACAGAGCCCAGCGTCCAGCCCTGCCCCCACAATCTGTGCTCCCGCTGACCCTGTTCCCCCACCCACCTCCTCACTTCAGGCCTGACCCTGCTCCCCCCAGCAGCTTGGGTTTGGGGCCACTTCCTGTCCCCCATTTGCTGCGGCAGCCCT